CGTAGAAAGGTAGCGTGTCCTATGGTGCAAGGATAATCTGTCCTATCCCGCAAGGGTATATGTACATGGTATATGTGACGATAGCAGCCTGACTTACGACATAAGCGCAGTATGGCTTAAGGGGTCGTTGTCGTATCAGGTACTACAGATATGTACCCGAGGTACATATATGTATACACAAAGTGTACCAGACTTGTACTACAGAAGTGTACCCTAACCCTAACCCTAACCCTAGCCCTAGCCCTAACCCTAACCCTAACCCTAACACTAACCCTAAACATACCTCATATAAAAATATATACATATATAATACTAAACAACGTAAAACTACCTCGAGTACATATCTGTAGTACCTGATACGACACTGACCCTATCTGACATAATGGCTGCCTCATCTTGGCTACTTACGATAGCATGAAGGTGTATGACTACCAGACCATTTTAATATTGCGTCAAGGCTTGGGTCGGGCTCTATATGACATACTATCTCTGCACTTCCATTCAATGTGTAGCCGGGGTTACACTGGAAGATCACGACCTTCTGGTGGCTGTTGTCGGTTTCCTTCATATTCCCATGGGTTGGAGCAATTGGCTGAGGGCAACTGATCAGAGCTGTGACAGGCAATAACATAAAGATAATGAATACACTTCCCCCGGTCGCGAAATTTTGCCCCCCGGTCAAAGGTTACTGCAGTCTGCATGTAATTCATGCATACGAGCACTAGTAATCCTGTTAGTTTGTTAACCCAGTTCTAATAACAATTCAGGGTTAGGGTTAGGGTTAAGGAGCTGCGTTTACACTATCGATTTTTGTCAGCAAATCGTACCGATTTCAAGTGCATTCCTACTAATCGGCTGAAATACGATTGTGTTGTAGTCGGAGTCGGAGTCAAGTCGCCGAGTTGGAGAAATAGAACGTGTTCTATTTTGCCCGACTCGGACGATTTGCTGACAAAAATCGATACTGTAAACGCAGTAATGTCACCAGCAAGGTGCCTATCACGTGATGTACACGTGTGGGAGGAGAGAGTGGGTGAGAGAAATGGCCAAGAGAGAGTGAGAGAGAGAGAGAGTATATGTATGTGTATGTATGTATGGATGGATGGATGGATGGATGGATAGATGGATGGATGGATGGACGGACAGACGGACGAACAGACTGACAGATATATAGATAAATAGATAGACAGGTGGATAGATGAATAAATGGATAGATAGATAGTTAGATAGGTAGATAGATAGATAGATAGATAGATAGATAGATAGATAGATAGATAGATAGATAGATAGATAGATAGATAGATGGTGTTTGTTTGTTGGTGGCTATATCGCCGGAGCTAGGACGATTGATAATTATTGTGGTGTAAACAAGGAGAGCATCGTCGGCCGCGCCGTGAGAGCGGAGTGAATGTCCAATCGCGCTGAAATGCGAATATGTGTGAGAGTAGCGACGTGTTGTGCGCCAGCACCCAGCTTAGTCCTGTAGGGCGAGATGGATCGCTGCTGTAACTGGCGACCACTCTCCTGTGTGTAAGTATGTATCAATAAAAGCGTTGTTCTGTGCGTCTCTTGTTGCTGTGTGTTTCGTCCGCGAGTCCTGGTAGAACTGCGGTTGGGAGACGTAACTTCCCGAGGAGAACTTCGGCCACGCCCGAACTTAGCATACGATCCCGA